CACACCACTCATCTTACACAACTCAACACCACTCTTCTCACACACCGCCTCTCGCCACTCATCACACACCACTCATCTCACACCACTCATCTCACACCACTCATCACACACCACTCATCACACACCACTCATCACACAGCACTCATCTCTTTCACTTTTATCGTCCAGTATCTTTCCGTCCTCTTCTCTTATCAATCTCTACTGACTCTACTTCTTGCTGTGATAGTTCTTACAAGCTTAACATGTGGGGTTATCCGATCCTTTTATTTGATGGCTCGCCCGAAGGTGCACACTTTTGAGTCGGCTTTGCCTCCGTCTTTTTCTTTGCCCGTGTCCTTTTGCTCGCAAAATTTGGTGCTTTCCAACGCAGGCGATTGAAACACGGCGCAGCCCTTCAGCAAGACCTATTTTTGTTTCGCGGTTGTTTTAGGTCGAGGGTTCCTCCGATAAATGAAATGGAAAGAAAGTGGGCCAGGAAACGAAAAACAATTGGCACAGGGTTGTCGTGCTTAAAAGACAGATTTCGGCTTAGGTAGGAAAAATTGGGTTACGCCATTTTTGTGGTGCAAGCTGGGTTGAGGGCATGGCCTTCCCCAACAGGACACAAATTGTTTTAAGACACCACCAGAGGCCACAAAGAGCCAACACCGGAAGTCACCAAAGCCATCAAAAGTCACTAGCAAGCATGCGCAATTGTAGGTTTCGCACACCAAACAACCATCTGCTTCTTTCGACAAATTCAGGGGTTGTTAGGTGTTCTGTACAGTTCTGCATTCGGAGGGCCGCTCTCGCAGGCTCTCAACCTGGATGCGCGGCTGGGGATGCTTCAGGCGCTTGAATAAGGTTTCGCCGCCCGAATGCAGTGTGACCCTTGTTGCTGAAGGACAAAGGAACCGAAGCCAAGTTTGAAGACATCAAGCGAAGCTTGGAGGATGCTAAGGTGCATCACTTAATTATCATCATTGGTCATGAAAGGTTTTTGTCGTCCAGTCTGCACAGAAATACTCCGTTTTGAGTCTCGCATTGTGCTCAAAAGCACGCACCGATTGGAAACTGACAGCGGTCCCCGAGCCTCTCTAGATTGGACACTGAACGATGTGTTGCTGCAAACATCTCGTCAAGGCCGCGTGCGAAGAATTTGCGACAAAAGTGGAACACGTGCAGGAAGCTGTTCAGGTGGGGATTTAACGCCGTGATTCTCGACGCAGGTTTAGTTTAGTTTAGATTTGTCGCTCTATCTCATCCGCAGGTTTATGCGAGAGAGAGGGTCCGCTGTGGAGTTCTCGGCTCAGGTTGGGAACGGATCCCCCTTCTCTGCCAGGGACCGTGAGGTCCTGGCAGTGAAGGGAAAGGTGCAGTGCTGCGCGAGCAATGGCGCTGGAAGTCCTGCGGGAGTATGGCAGGTCTTTGGGCCTCACGGTTGAGGGGATAGAGCTAGTGTTGCGGAACGGCCCCAAAAAAGACATTGGGTGGGTCACGTGGTCAACAGGCCGTGATGGGCGTCCGTCACCTGAGGTGGCGAAAGTCCCTGAAGGGGTTTTCTCAGTCCTGCATCGAGTACGAATGCACGGACGCCGGTCCCCAGCGGAGGCAGGGCTATCATGTTGGGCTGCCAAGGAAGCGTTCGCTTGCAGAGCACCTGGAGGAGAAGTTCAAGGAGAAGGAGACGGTGGCCCGCCGAAAGGCCAAAAAGAAGCGGTCAAGCCAGCTCGAGCTCAACTGACGAGTCGAGTAAATCATCTGGCTCGCATCTGCAGTCAGCCCCGAGGGGTGACAGTGGAAGATCGCGACCAAGAAGCCCACTGAAGGCGGTGGAAGCTTCGCTGAACGAGGTGGGCTGGCACTTAGCAAGGCACCTCGACCTCATCCTGCCAGCTGCAGCTCAGATGAGCACGGAGGAGGACCGAGAGTTGGCGGCGAAGACCAAGCTTCGGGCTTTGAAGGTGACCGTCATCGCGAAGGACAAAAAGCCCCCAAACAGGAAGTCGGCAGCGGAGCCTCCAGTGGCCTGCGGCGGTCCGTGAGTCTTTTAAGAAGTTCTCATCTGAAGTGGGGCGACAAGGCCGCCCTGAGAGCACCGATGTAGCAGCAGGAAAATCCGAGAAGGGTGACGTTCACCGACCGGTGGAAGAGGCAGGAGTCAGGGAAGGTTGGAGCCGGCTCAACGACGAGGAGATAGTCCAGGAAAGGCTGGTGGAGGAGTCCGAAATCAAGAGGCAAAGGCGGAAAAAGGGGGAAAAGGGGGAAGGATGCCTCCCAGAGCTCCCGCCAGGTTTCAGCAACGTCTTGAACGAGCTCTGAAGTGATAGATGTTTTTGACGGAGATGTCCCGTCGGGTTTCTCAGCAGTTCAGCTGGTGCGTCATTTGTTGGTGCAGATCTTCACGATTGATTCTCCCTTCGCCAGGATGTTGAGATGGAGCACCCAGCCCCACGGGAGGGGGGCAGATCGCCCCTCGAGATCTGCTGTGTGTGGTAGGCGAAGTGGAAGAAAGTCGACAAGTTCGCGATATGGCGAGTGGAGGCTAAGCGGTGACACCAGAACTTTAAGGCCAGCAGGAGCCTCAGGTATCTGGTGGTCTGCTGCCTACATAGAATGGCAGCAGGCGCCACCCACATGGCCCCAGTCGGGGGGATCTGCCACCGCAGCCCAAGAGGAAGCCCTGAATAGAAATGCTACATGGCCAACGGCAAAGGGCGGACACGAGCAGTGACAGACCTGGGAGACACATGAATAGAAATGCTACATATGGCCAACCGAAAAGGACGGACGCGAGCAGTGACAGACCTGGGAGACAAATGAATAGACATGCTACATGGCCAGCGGAAATCGTGACAGAAAGGGCGGGCCCATCTTAAGAAACTTTGGAGATTTTCGTCGATGAAAAGGCAAAGAGGGGTGTTCCCCGTATCTGGGATGGGGATTGGGCCAGCAAGCTCAACGAGTTGAGGGTGTCCTACACCGGTGAAACCGTAGAGAAGGCTCACCCCATCAGCCTGGAGCAAATCTCCAGGGTTGCCAAGCCCGGATCATGGAGGTATTGATTTGGTTGATGTGCTGCCTGCAGCACTTGGCCAGAGAGATCGAGGACCCCAGTTTAAACTCCCACCTCGGCCACTTGTGAGATGCAGCGATGAAGAGTGGCCAAAGATCGTCAGGGCCCTTCTTGATAGAGGTCTGGTCCGCCTCATCAATCGTTGTCCTCGGGTTGGTGACTTCCAGATGAAGAATGGGGCCTTTGGAGTGCCCAAGCCCGGCAAGGTGACCGAGAGTGGAAAGCCGGCCTTGCGCTTCATTGTCGACCTTCATGCCACCAACTACTTCCTGAGACAGATCGAAGGTGACACACATATTCTGACGGGCGCGGCCACATTCCAGAGGATCGTGGTGGATGATGGAAAGGAGCTGCTGATTTCAGGGGAAGACCTTACGTCGGCCTTCTATTGATTCCGACTCCGGGAAGCCTGGGATCAGAGAAGTACGTGGGCTTGAGCGTGCTACCTATGGACCTATGGTGTGGTCGAGTGGTGGCACTCACGCACGCCGCTCATCGCTGCATAGCCCTGCGGGCGCCCTCTCTGGGTGGCGCGGGACTCAGCAGCCTCAACGAAGTCTCCAGAACTGCATCCTTTCCAGACATCAGTGATGAGGCATGCTGGAGCATCTACCTTGATGATACCACAATCATTGAGTCAGTTGACAAATCAGTGGCGCAGAGTTGATCGGGCCCCATTCGGCAGAGCAAGAGAGGCTGACGCAGGCTTACAGCTGGCTGGGCATCCCAACCAACGCTCAGAAGGCCCTGGTGCGGTGGCGCATTGTTGGATGGCAAGAAGGGAGTCCTCAGGGCTAACGCCCAAAGCTGTTTGGATGTGATTGGGCTTGGAACCTACATCAGGGGGTTGCGCTGGATCCCTCTGAAAGCCCTGCAAGTCTGGGCAGGAAAGATCCCCTCTTCGCGAACATGGAGGAGATTCACGGCTATTGCTAGCGGAGTGCAAGAGCAGAAGATGACAGTAAAGTTGGCCCAGGGGATGCTGATCATAGAGGCCCTCTTACCCATCGCGCAGTGCAACCTCAGGTCAAACCGTGGGCCTAGTGGTCACGTGCTCTGATGCCTCGGAGACTGGAGGAGGCAGTTGCTACTCTTCGAGGCTTACGTGGAGCGGTCGAGCTGGCCACGAAGCTTCTTGAGGGCAAGTCCGGCGATGATGTGATCTATAGACCCGACAGAAGCTGACTGCGTGGCCCTGGTTGTGGGTTAATCTTCAGGAATCGGCGGACTCAAAGAAGCGCTGAAGAGTGCTGGCCTTGGAAAGTGTTCATTGAGAAAGATAGAGAGTGCGGGCGAATGGTCCGCAGGCACTACCCGGAGGTGCGCCCGTAAAGTGCCCACACGCGGTTGGAATCGTGGCAGGTGGAGGCAGCCCCTGTCAGGGATTGAGGAGGCTGTCCAGCACCAGGGACCACCTGAACGATCCTCGCAGCAAGTTGTTCTTTGAAGCGGTTCGCATCTTCAAGATGATGGATGCCGAGGCTGCGTGGAGGAACCTTTGGACGTTGAAGCTCCTGGAGAATGTGGTCGCTGACTTGGAGGACATTCAGGAGATGTCTGATGCATTGAAGATGAGGTGTCGTTTCTCAGGCCGGAAAGCAGGAGCTCGTGAACCAGACGTGAGGTTACCAACTTTCACGCGGGCGATCCCACGGAAGAAACCTCCACCATCCTCGGCAGGCCTTCGAAGCTCATTGCCGGGTCCCGTTAACGAGCGCCGGGCAGAAGATGGATATCGCTACCCGCCGTACACCGGAGAAGTTCATGATCTCGACCGATCAAGGCACCCTAAGGCCCTTTGATGGCTGAGGAGAGAGAGGTCCTCATGGCGATGCTAAAGAAGGCGCTGAAAACGGCCGAGGAGCTTCGCCGTGGCCGAAGACCTCACGTGTGCTGCCATTGGCAACTCGTTCCACATCAAGACTGTGGCGATCCTTCTCGACTACGCCCTGGCAAGCTGGGGAGTAAAGTCATTGCGGGGGCCGCAAGTGATTTGTCAAGCCCATACGAATGAAGCATTGAAGAGGTTCGCTCAGGTGAAGTATGAAGATGACCCCGAAGTCGAGCAGCGTGCTGGTGGAGAGCCTTCGCGGTAACCACCCGTTGCAGACGATACAGCGGAGTCAGATGGTATGACGCTACCCTTAGCTTCCGAGAAGCTACTTTTTTTTTCATTGCTCCAAAAAGTTGTCTGCCAGCCGGTTTTTTTGGCTTCCAGGTTTTTTATGTTAGAAGCCTCTGGAAGCCAAAAAAAAAGGCTTCTAGAAATCCAAAAAAGAGGCTTCTAGAAGCCAAAAAAAGAGGCTCCTAGAAGTCAAAAAATATAGCTTCTGGAAATGTATATGTATAGATATTCTTATTTATTTATTTATATAACATCATGATACATTTATGCGCTGCATCACTCTTTTGTCTATTTCATTTAGCCATTGCTGGCTTGGCTTGCCCAAGATGAGGGAATGGAGTGGCTGACATCCACCTCAGCAAGACCTTTTCAGAAGCCTTGCCAGGCTGGAATTTACCACCTCTGCGAAAAAATAAAGTTTGCAGTGACCCTGCAAATGTTTCATCCTTATAACTCCAGCTGTCTTTTGGATGGTTACCAAGCTCAACCAAATCCAAAATGTGGGCCAAGAGGTGGAGCTTGGGCTTTGATCTCCACAATCGAACCTCTGAGCCATCACTGGCTTGGACTTCTGCTTCTAAAGCCATGTACTGGCTGATGAATTTTCTTCCAGCCTTCACCAGTTCTTCTTTGTTGGAGGCTTCTAAACTGTTGTACATATGGCTGCAGTACTTGGCCACTTTGTAGACAGCTTTCTCATGCCAGGTGCCTTCATGCAGGCATTGTCTTTTGCACAATGGTTCGAGAAGGGGGCAAAAATCCCTGACTTCATGGGCCTTGCAATCCAAAACTGGAGCTTTCTTTGGTTTGACTATATCCTTGACAGTCAACTTCTTGAGCCTTTTGCAGGCTGGAAAATCTCTTTCTTCATACATTTTTTGAATCTCTTGCCAGAGATTGGCACATCTTTCATCTTGAGAAGTGCCTGGAAAAGATTGCAGTAATTCTTTCAGAATTTGCCCTGCTGCCACAGCAAGACTGCCCTCATCACAAACA